TGTATTATCTCTCTCATCCAAGGAGCTTTCGCAATTGTGTATCTGTTTGTAATCATTCTATTTTTTAATTGATAGTGACGATGGTGATGTTGATGATGATGAAGAGAAAGTAGCAAATAAATGTTTTTCCATTCAAGGATTGGTCTCTTTATTTATTTCACCACATTGTTCGATAATCCTCATCAAAATTTTCTTCTCACTTGGCTTGAATGGAAAAACCTACTTGCAGCATTCCTCGATAAATAATAAATAAATAAATCTCGATTTGATATCACGATCACGAATATCCATCTTTTTTTTTTTTTTTTTTTTTTTTTTTTTCAAACATTTTTTTAACTATTTTTTTTTTATCGATCGTATCGCATCATCCGTCTTCACAAAGGCGCATTGCATTTTTCGCCTTTTTTGCATTTTTTTTTTCGATTTAGAATTTTTTCCATTTCAATTGCCAAGCGTGAAATATTGTTCGTCGTTCCTCTATCATCTGGTTTCTTGCATAATAAACAAGAAGAATTAAAATATTTCATCGCATCAATCGAAAATTTTTTCTTCGAAGTTCTTTTTACAATTCGAGAGTCAAGAAAGAAAACTTTCACGAGTAAATGAAATAGACAATTTTCAATATGAATTTTGAATGAATATGATCCTCAAATTGATCGATTATTCTTATAATTACATTTCGAAGTAACGTAACAAAGGTTATACAATACCATAATGTCTGAATACTTTGAGGATCGATTTTTCCTTTAGTCCGCGCCAACCAGCCAAGAAAGGAACACGTTATTATTGTTTTCAATCTGAATTCGATACCTGGTAAAGTAATCGATAGAGTTCAAGGAAGCGTCGGGATATAAATACATCCAGCGCATTTTATTCTGTACTTATAAAGATAGTTATCGTACTATAAGTATTTTATAAGCATTTTTTTTTTTTTTTTTACAATATAAAATAATAATTTGATTAGTAATTCTTTAAAATAAAAGTTGGTGATCATAATTCTTAAACGAGCTACATATTATCTCAAAACTTGTTTCAAATGTGACGCAAGATCCGCGTATGGTATAAGTTGCGTATACGCCCATTTAAGAGGGCATCTAGTTTTGAAATGCGAGCATTGTTTCTAGTTTTTTAGTTTCTTCTTCCGTCTCACATTAGCATACATATAATTCACAACAAAAATCCGTTAAAATGATTACAATCAAAATAGTATTTGAAAGTTCATTAATTTATTAAAATTAATAAATAATATTTTTTTAAATTATATTTTTAATATTTGTGAAAGCTTCTTCATCATGTAAAAAATAGAATAATTTGAATACCTATCTAAAAAATATATTAATATTTAATTTTTAAACCGTTGAATAATTAAAATCGAAATTGTATTCAAAATGAAAAAAAAAAAAAATATCATAAAGTAGTCAAATGTCCAGGGATTGTATTTGCCAAAACAAATTATTCAAGTTAATATTCCATTTCTATATTTAAAAATATTAAAATTAATCTAAATGAAATTTGTTCAGAATTTTTACAATTAGAATTTAAGATTCTGGTCAAAGAACAATTTGGGTCAGCTTAATCGTTATAATACAATACAAATATATATTTAGTTTAAACTTAATTTACTTTTATTTTTTCAAGATATCTCATTTGTCTTGTCTGTTTTATTATAATAATTATTATAAAAAATTAGTTTAAAACAAAGTTACCAAAATTATTTTTTATTATTTTTTATTATATTCGAAACGAAACTATTGATTTAAATATAGAAATATAGATTTTTGAAGATAGATTTTAGACATTTATTTATATGAAAAAATATAAAGATTATTTTTATTCTACTTTCCTTTCAATTACGTAACTAGGTACAGTATTTATTCGTTATAAGCTCACGACTGGAACTCAAAATCGGTCATATATATCCTGCAAGAAACACGAAATTTGATCCGTATTTTATTTTTGTCGATATGGACGTTTATAGAGAAAAATGAACTGAGATGAACCTAAGCATTTGAGAAAAATTTACGATTTGTTTGGGCGTTAAATTTACTTTTTTCTTTGCTTCAGTAAATACAAGATGAATTGTTGAGCATATAACAAATAAATATTACGAATATTGGAAAAATATTCAATATTGATGCATTGCTTGCTTTTTTGCTGATTTCTTACAGCATCGGGCACAGGTGGCCAAGAACGAAGAGTCAGCATGAGGTTGCACCGTAGGGATGCAGCTGCTGGAGAGATGCAACCGAAGACCAAGTGAGTTGCTATATCACGCCAAAACATCATCGCGGATAAAAGCACCTAAGTATAACTCGCTCTGTCTAGTATATATAGGGAGTGGCCCCTTAACTGTGTAGTCTCGTATAACCAGTCCTTTCGTAATTGTACTGATTATGAGTTAACACAACCTTAATGTTATATAGTGTTTCA